TGTACATGGATATGAGAATAGGCCACAGTTACAGTATGGGAACTGTGCTGTAATTTCCCTTAAACTGTAAATTCCTTTCAAAGGCATTTGAGCAGAACTTGGACTGTGGCTTGCATCTGAACCCTGAGCAGCAGAGTTGGGCTCATGGGGAACCACACTGTATTCCTTAAAGGGAATTATCAGCAGGTGCAATCCCACTGCATGTAGGGAGACTATGGAAAGCTGGATGACTCTGAGAAGTCACACTGGAGCTCCACACAAGTTCCACCATTAACTCAGCATAGACTTCATTACTTTGTGTGTAGGTTTGTGTGTACAAAATGGGAAGGGTTTTATGGTTCTTATTCTAGCAGATCTATTGCCTTCCTTTTCTGACCCAGCTAATGGGGATGGAGGGAGGAATATCCAGCACCCAAAGGGCGATACTGGGTTAGCTTGTGGTTTCTTTTTGGTCTGGAAGTGTGCGTTTAGGCAGGCTCTCCAACAAGTGCCATGCATAACTCTAGTCCCATTTCATTTCTCTGTAGAAATGTGCTGTGACACATAACAGGAAATGGAATTGCAGGTCTTTTGTATAGCCATTGTGTCATGGTTAGGTTTCTCCCTATAAAGCTTTCCTCCCTTTAATGAAAATATCCACAAATAAATCTATCTGCAAAGTGTACTTTAGACATGTTAAAGATGATTTCCCCATTTCTGGTGCTATAATAATTGGGAAGTTACGCCTCTATGCAGACTAAGTCTATACGGAGAGCTCTGTTCTTCATCCCTGAAGAGGAATGTGTTTATGAGTCTAGGTAGCCAATTTAAAGTAAAAAATAAGGCTGAGGCTTACTGGCTCAGTGGAATGTGACAGGTTGATCTGGTATCTAGGATACACAGAGGGTGGGAATGTAAATGGGGGCCCAGGGCTACATTCTTGGAATTTCATTTCATGTGAGGAGGAGGCAACGGGTGGGAAGTGAACATGACCTTGAAGTACTTTAAGTCCTTATCGAGATAAAAAAGGTGCAGTTGGTGCACACATTCTACTTAAAGACCTGCCCTGTGCATAATACAATACCAAACTATATTATCAGTGACTGTAGCCTGCTACATCTCTGATGAAGCTTTTTATTACATGTCCAGTAACCCTCTTAAGTTATTTTCTTTTGAATGGTGGGAGCTGGTTATAAATAGCCTCCTTTTTATTTTAAAATAAAATCTCTTTTAGGAATGGTTCGAGTGACCAAAACTTCATTTAAACTTCATGCTTTTAAATGAAGTTCAATGCTCTGAGAGAGCATAAGCTGGATGAATGTGGTGGCAAGGCAAGGTCAGACTACTGGAGAAGATAGCAGCCAAATCAGAAGCATAGAGTGTTTTCACTGCTATAGACTAGACGTGCAAGTTGGATGCCTACCCCAGCAGAGTATGTAAGTCAATAATGTGTAGAATATTAAGAGTGCTCGGAGAAACTCTCTTTTTTTCACCATGCATCCAGAAATGGCCAGTGGGCAAATCTGTGCCTTTTGAACTTACAGTAGGCATCTGTTTTCTGAACACTAACCCTGCTTTTCATCTCAACCAGTTAAAAGAGAACAAATACTGCTCCCTCCCTAAATGCTCTTCTCCTTCTATTTCTGTTCAAGCTATTATACTTTTCAGCTCCTATTCAGCAGTGGTAATATTGTTGCTAACCTACCAGTGAATAGTTTGTGGTTTCAAAAGAGCTATGTAGTGTACAATTCTGTCATAATAGTGGTAACCATGGGTAAAGTCACTACTGGGACAGATGCTGACAAGTAAGAGATGCAGGTGCCCTTTTCGGACTTACACGTGTACCCAAGTATAGTTTACTGGGCATGCCCAGTTTGTGTATACATGCCTACATGTTCATGTTGAATGTGTGTAAGTGCCAAAAACACCACATACATGGTTGGAAAATAGCCAATTAGGTGTAGACAAGGAAACAGATTTCCACCCTTAGACTAACAATTCTGTTGTTGGTCTTTATGATACTGTTCAAGAGTCGCTTACCCACAGGTACTGTCAAGCACTTTATCCTTCTTTGAAAAAGGTGAAAGGAAACTGCTTTTTGTGACACTCTTAGGCTTGCTATTAACTTCATTCTTACTCTGAAGTAACTTCCAAAAGCAGCAATTTGACTTACCAATGTCTTTGAATACTGTATCTCTCAATCTCTTTCTTTTGACTTCATGCAATCTTAAAACAAAGATTACAGGCTGCTTGTCCATTGTGGTTTGGCTCCTATGTAATCTCTTACCCATGCCGTGTATTTCTCATTAAAGAAATCTGGAGTCGCTTCATACCTTAAATCCGTGGTGATATTCAAGTCAGAAACTTAAATGAAATACAGAATCTTTAGAAGCCGAAAGCTTATTTGATGCAAGTTTATAATATCACCCCTCAAATTACTGGTAGCAAAAAGGAAAAATAAGAAGGCATCCTGCTGTGTTAAAAACAAAACACTGGAAGCAAAGCATTGCTAAATTCTAATTTCTTTCCCTCTGCGCATGCGTGTGGACCGTCATAGATGTTAGGGTCAGAAGGGACCACAATAGATCATCGAGTCCGACCCCCTGCATAGTCAGGAAAGTGTGCTGGGTCTAGATGACCCCAGCTAGATGCCTATCTAACCTCCTCTTGAAGACCCCCAGGGTAGGGGAGAGCACCACCTCCCTTGGGAGCCCGTTCCAGACCTTGGCCACTCTAACTGTGAAGAAGTTCTTCCTTATGTCCAGTCTAAATCTGCTCTCTGCTAGCTTGTGGCCATTATTTCTTGTAACCCCCAGGGGCGCCTTGGTGAATAAAACCTCACCAATTCCCTTCTGTGCCCCCGTGATGAACTTATAGGCAGCCACAAGGTCGCCTCTCAACCTTCTCTTGTGAAGGCTGAAGAGGTCCAGGTGCCCCAGTCTCTCCTCATAGGGCTTGGCCTGCAAGCCCTTAACCATACGAGTGGCCCTTCTCTGGACCCTCTCCAGCTTATCCGCATCCCTCTTGAAGTGCGGTGCCCAGAATTGCACACAGTACTCCAACTGCGGTCTGACCAGCGCCCGATAGAGGGGAAGTATCACCTCCGTGGACCTATTCATCATGCATCTGCTGATGCACGATAAAGTGCCATTGGCTT